TTCCTAGCAAAAGTTGCTATGATTCAACAAGGTGTACAAGCAAGATAAGTGTACATCATCCTTGTTCCTTTCACGTCCTTTTCTTTTCATCAGCCAATCAGGAGCCCTGGTGGTGTGATGGTTAAATCTTCAGCTGCTAACTGAAAAGTACACAGTTTGAGCCTACCCATTGGCTCCCTCTAAAGAACCACTTGGTGATATGCTCCTGTAGAGATGGCAGTCTACCAAATCCTATGGAGTAGTTCTACTGTGCCACTTGGGGACACTTGGAGTTGAAATTAACTTGATAGCACCCAACAAAAACAATATTCAATCAATCATTCAGTCTTGCTGATTTCATGTCCTAAACACCTCTGTAATCTGTCAATTCCTCTCTACCCTCACTCATTTTACCCCACTAGAGATCTAACATCTCTTTTGGAGTGGAACTAAGACAGGTTCCACTTAAGGACCTTCCTGTAAAGTTCTTCATCCAGTATCACAGAAATCATGCAGAGATATGTCACAGTTATTTTCATCACTCAGTTGGGTCATCCTGTAGGTATGTACACCATTTTCAGGTCAGAGTTTAGGGTGGGGACAATGGTCAAAAGAACATATAGTGTACCCCCTTGGATATGGTGATTAGGGCATTATTTATTAAGTATATTTCAGTGAATTGATCATCATTATCAAACTTGCTCTTGAATGAAGAGTAGCTAAAGCAAATGGAAGAAATGGCAAGATAGAAGAGCTGAACAAAAGATTTCAAAAAGCAGCTCAAGAAAACAAAGTCAATTATTATAACAGAATATGCAAAAGACCTGGAGTTAGAAAACCAAAACGGAAGAAAATGCTTGGTATTTCTTAAGCTGAAACAACTTGAGAAAAAAATTCAATGTTTGAGTTGCAATATTGAAAGTTTCTATGGGCAAATATTGAATGATCCAGGAAACCTCAAAAGAAGAAGGGAAGAATTCACAGTCACTGTATCAAAAAGAATTAGTTGACATTCATCCATTTCAGGGGGTGGTACATGATCAAGAACCAATGGTATTGAAGGAAGAAGTAGAAGATGCACTGAAGGAACTGGCAAAAAATAAGGCTCCAGGAATTGACATAATACTCACTGAGATATTTCAACAAATGGATGTGTACTGGAGGCACTTAATTGTCTATCACAAGAAATTTGGAAGACAGCTACTTGGCCAACTGACTAGAAGAGGCCCATATTCATACCCATTCCAAAGAGAGGTGATTCCACAGAATGTGGAAATTATTGAACAATATCATTAATATCATATGCAAGTAAAATTTTGCTGAAGATAATTCAGAAATGGTTGCAGCAGTATATTGGCAGAGAAATTCCAGAAATGCAAGACAGATTCAGAAGAGAACATGGAATGAGGCTATCATTGCACACATCAGATGAATTTTGGCTCAAAGCAAAGAATACCAGAAAGATGTTTACTTGTGTTTCATTAACGATGCAGAAGCATTTGACTGCATGGATCATAACAAATTATGGATAACATTGAAAAGAATGATATTTCCAGAACACTTGATTGTGTTCATGAGAAACCTGTACATAGACCAGGAGAGAGTTATTTGAATAGAACAAGGGGTACTTCATAGTTTAGAATCAGGAAGGGAGTGCATCAGGGTTATACCCTTTCACCATACTTACTCAATCTGTATGCTAAGCAAATAATCTGAGAAGCCAGACTACATGAAGAAGAACAGGGCATCAGATTGGAGGCAGACTCATTAACCTGTGATATGCAGACAACACAACTTTTCTTGCTGAAAGTGAAGATGACTTGAAGCACTTACTGATGAAGATTAAATGCTACACTCTGCAGTATGGATTACACCTTAACATAAAGAAAACAGAAATCCTAGCAACTGGATCAATTAGTAGCATTCATGATAAATGGAGAAAAGATTGAAGTTGTCAAATATTTCATGTTACTTGGTTCCACAATCAACACCCATGAGAGCAGCAGTCAAGAAATCAGATGGCATCTTACTGCACTGGGCAAATATGCTGCAAAAAAACCTCTTTAAAGTGTTGAAGAGCAAAGACATGTTTTTGAAGACTAAGAAATACCTAACTCAAGCCATGGTGTTTTTATTCACGTCATATGCATGTGAAAGCTGGACAGTGAGTAAGGAAGACAGAGGAAGAGTTGATGCTTTTGACTTGGGGTGATGGTGAAGAATATCGTGGACTGCCAGAAGAAGGAAAAAAATCTGTCATGGAAGAAGTGCAACCAGAATGTTTCTTAGCAGCGAGAATGGCCAGACTTAGTCCCATCTACTTTGGTTATGTTGTCAGAAGGGACCATTCTCTGGAGAAAGACATCATGCTTGGTGTGATAGTTGGAGCTGTGTGTCAGCTGGGCTGGACCCCAGTTCTGTGTGGTTGTTCCCATGATGGGAATGGATGACTGTGTTCTGAGTGGCTAGTCTGCCCAAGGGGAGTTTCCCTAGGGGTGTGGCCTGCTTCCAGGATATCCAAGGACATCCTGGAAAGAGAGACATTCTTCTGTGGATCGGGACTCTGGTGTTCTACCTACAACTTTCCGTGAGTGAGCAGCCTACTGTTCGTTCGGCCTGGAGATCTTGGATTTGTTTTTCCTTGGAGTCAACAGCCAATGTACTGCCTGCCAGCCTTGAGCTTCTCAGCCCCCTGCGGTTGCGGAAGCTAAGAAAAGCCTCCAGTCTGACGTTTCCTCCAGGGACTTTGGACTTGCCGGCTTCTATACGTTTGTGAGCCATTTTCCTAAGATAAATTTCTCTCTCTCTCTTTATGTGTATATAAGCTTTGCTGGTTTTTATTTCCCTAGAGAACCCAGTCTAACACACTTGGTAAAGGGGAGGCTCAGTGAAAAAGAGGAAAGCCCACAATGAGATGGATTGACACAGTGGCTGCAACAATGGCCTGAGGATCGTGAGGCTGGTGCAGGACCCAGCAGCGTTTCGTTCTGTTGTACACAGGATAGCTATGAGTCAGAGCTGACTCCATGGCACCTAACAACCACCGCCACCAACAACTGTCTCTTTCTAGTTTTGTAAAACGGTGGGATCCAAGGAAATATTCTTTCTTTATTGGAAGCCTGAAAAACAAAGAAAATCAAGTGGCGGTGTGTCCACTGGAAAGAGCCAAATGTATTGAGACACTGCTCATTCAGTTTACCTATAGGTAGAGGATAGTCTGAGTAATTAAAACTATAGTAAAATATATACAAAGTCAAATCTTTCCAATATTGAAAAGTTTTCACACACGAAAGGGAAGTGTGTTATTTATTCAGATACACATATTTAATAAAGAATCTCAGAATTCCCTATAAAAAATTCAAGACTGCATATACTAACATGAGAAACATTAAATTTTCCATTCTGCCATCGATATCCATTCAGCACATACAAACATGCTCACAACAGGCAGAGCACTCTCCTCTGAAAATCTCAAAAAGAGGAATTTTTAATGAAGAAAACACCTAACAGGCATGCAAGCTCTTTGCCAAGCAAAGAAATTTAATCTAATGTTGAATCTTAAATGTAAGTATTAATATCTCCATTTAAAAAATAAATTTAGAAAACAAAATATCAGAGAACAGATACATTTTCTAAGATCACACAATTGATGTGTGGCAAAGACAAGGTTCAGAGTATCAGGCTGCCCAGCTCTTGCGCCCACCCCGCCTACACAACATCTTAGGAGAATAAAAGCATGATGATGGAATATCCACATTTACTATTTTAAGCAATGAATGAATGAAAACATTTTCCTTTTATTACATTATTTGATTAATATTATATTGAGATGTAATTAGCAATGTGTTTTGAGGAGATGACAAATCAGTGTGGGGAATCTCTAAAAATTGTATCCTTTTCACTAGGCTGTTTATTCATGTGGAAAGAGATCTATTTTTTGAAGTATAATATTATAAATGTGGGTCTCTCATTTTTTTTTTTTTTCTTTGACACCTGGGTAAAGTTTCTTTAATTCTTAAAAACACAGAAGAATAACTTCTATAATAACTTTAATTTACAAAAGTATTCACTACTGCACTGTGTGATCTTGACAGCATCTTTTTTTTTTTTTTTTTTTTACAATAATGAACTATGTCAGTAACACACACATGCCTTGAAAGAAAATAATTAATAGAAAACTGTTTTGTTCATATCTCAATTACTTCACTTACGGCCTGAGATATCCACAGCAATGTATCTGATGAGTTGTACATTTCTCATAGTCTTTATGAGTCAAAGGAAATCATGTACATCCTCCTTAAGCTCTAATGCATTATTTCCTCAAATCAATTAAAAAGGTGATTACTATAACAAATTCTTTACTAAGCCAATCACTCTATCACAGTTATGCTATCAATAAAAAGTAGGAAATACGTAGCATCAGCAAATCATAAAGGGTGCCATTCCGATGAGGACGGACTAAGAAAAAAGAAGGAAGAACACAGAAAGGGAGTGAGGAAGGAAATTGTGAACCAAAGCAGCGATGTCTTGAGGACTTCTAACAAGGGTGGTATATGGGATCACATGGTCATCCACAAAATTTGTAAGTTTTTGTTGTTGTTATGTGCTATCAAGTTGGACCCAACTCATAGTGACCCTTCGTTGGGTTTCCGAGGCAGTATCACTACAGAAGTAGATTGCCCAACCTGCCTTCTGAGGAGTGGCTAGTGGGTTTGAACCGCCAGCCTTCTGATTAGGAATCCAGTGCCTTAGGCACTATACTGCCCAAAATTTGTATATCAAGGAATATCATAACACTTCTTTGAATGACATAAGTAAATGAATTTTAACTTGGCAAAAGCTAATTTGAGGGTTATTCTCTTCAAAGTCCCTAATCATTTTGGTAAAGCAATTATAACAAATGGAGAAAAAAAATAATGGCAGCATTTTATTCCTGAATCATATATATCTGATATAAATGTGTGTGTATATTTATATATATGTGATAAATACATATATTTATCCATCTTCACTTCCTCTAGGTCATTCAGACCATCAGTGCAGTGGATAGAGATGAATCCATTGAAGAGCACCATTTTTACTTTAATATATCTGAAGAAGACAAAATGAACTCAAGTTTTACACTCATAGATAATCAAGGTAATGTCATTTATGCATAAATGATTGTTTAACCCTTCTTCCTGAATCATGTTTGATTTTAATGGAATTTTTAACATGAGCTGTTATACTGTTCCTACAACACAATGATGTTGGAAAATAGAGCAAAGGAGTGAAAATGCAAATGGAAATCAACACGCAGAGTCAGGTCCTAAGACTCTGTTACTCACTGCCTTTCGTCTAAGCCCAAGCACTCTTCTAGCATCTGGCCTGCTGGCCTCTGAATCTCAGTGATCTGCAAATTTAACTGAAGCTCTAACACCAAGGATCCTTTCATGCTCTTACACAAATCAAACCTCGTTCCATGTTTTGGAAAGAGATGATCTATACTCAATTTATAGTCATGTTAGCTTGAATAAGTCAAAGATACTTGGAGTCATTAATTAGGAGCTAAAATATATGAAATTTGCTTGTGATTGTTTCTTTACTTCCTACACCGGTAATAATTTCATCAACATAAAGAGAAGTACCATCATCTGATGCTGATGTGTTGGTGTTTAGGGTCCTATGAGTCAGAATTGACTCAACAAGAGAATTAGGCGCTTTGAGGGATTTTCCGTGGAGACACAGAATTTCTTTACTCTCCAAGTAGAAATGGATTAACTTTCTACAAAGCCCCTCTGTACATTTGTTTTTCCATATCTTCAGTAGAGGTTTTTTTTTTCACTCATATGTGTTTCTAGATGAATTTTTCTTTGTATCTCAAATATATGAAAAACTATAGGAGTTGTTACTCGTGCATTTTTAATCACACACCATGGACTGTCCCTCCTTACAATTACATGGAAGCTTCGACGGGGGGGGGTGTCCTCTGTGTGAGAGCCCCGTGGACAGAGCTTTCTCGCCCTTTTGCCCCTTATCTAACACCCCAGAGAAGGCAACTCAGATATACTTAGGACACTGAGCGCACATACAAATATACAAGATAAACTTCAGCTTAGATTTGTTTTTGTTAAACCAAACTCCAAGCTAAAGTCACTGCTATCGAGTCACCTCTGACTCATACCCACCCCCACTGGGGTTCCGAGGTGGTAAATCTTTACGGAAGTAGATTGTCGAGTCTTCCTTCCACGGAGTGGCTGGTGAGTTAGAACTGCTAACCATCTATTTAGCTGTCAAATGGCCTTAGGCACTACACTGTCAGAGTGCCTTTTGGTTTTGTTAATATAAAATAAATTACTGGAGCAAAATAAAGACATTGAAGCATATAGGAAACAATTTATCAGGTTAAATGTTTGTCGATGGAAATAACTTAATGAAATACATATTGGAAAAATAAAGTGAACTTTCTCTTACCTCTCAACTTTGCCTAGTAAATAAAATCACAAGAGTTTTACAGTCTTCACCAACATAATGAAGAGTTGATTTTACAAAAGATGATTTGGTAAAACTCATAAATAAGCATATATTTCAAAAGATTTCCATTTCTTTGCTTTTTCTCTCAATTTTCTTCCAAAGTTTATGTGATAGCTACAGAAGATATTTTTGTAGATGACAATCAAGAAAAGAGAAAAAATGAAAAGGAAATCATAGTTTTGAGACACAAGAAATTGTACTGAAAAGGATTGTTTAGAATGTTGTGCTATTCCAGAAAGAATAATTTCAAACATGCTTGAACTATGTGTTGTTCATCTTGCCTATTTATTTATTTATTTATTTATTGTATTGCCTGTACAGATGAAAGACTCAATAGGACAAAGGTTTAAGGATTTTCTGTTTATTATATAGGAAATTAGTTGATATTGTCAAAGTGGAATGCAGGAGAATTTTTCCTACTAATAACTGTAATCTTTGTTTCATTAGTATGTACATTCACTGTTTGAGATAATTTGCTGATGGCTGGATAATTTTGAAAATCTGGTGTCTTTCCAAGACTTGTGACAAGGGGTTCCAGCTATGAAATACCACATGTCATGTGTAATGAATTCAAATCAAACTAATGTTTCCATCATGCATTTAATATTTGTCATCTCTATAAAATATTTGTACTTAATAAAATGTTGTTCTCTGTGTTGCACATGTATTGTCCGTGCCTATAACTGACTTCAATAATCTGTCTAACTATGTAATTCTAAACCACACTCTCTGCTATCAAGTTGGTTCCACCTCACAGGAATCCACATGGGGTGCCCAACCCGCATGGTGTGTCCAATGCTGTAAACCTTTACAGAAGCAGACTGCCTTACCTTTCTTCCACAGAGAGGTTGGTGGGTTGGAGCCACTGAGCATTTAGTTAGCAGCCAAATGCCTTAACCACTACATTATTACAGGTCCTTAAGTATTTCATTAGATTTTATGTAATGTCACAGGCAATAAAGGTGTTTTTTGGTGGATCATTATCTTTTGATCAGGAAATTCCTCTTCCTTTTCTTGGACCTTATTTGATCATACCTCTACACTATTATCCCTAAACTTGTATGAATTTCTTTTACATTGTGAAAAAAAAATGTGCCAATGGATTTTTGTTTTAGACAACACAGCCATCATTTTGACTAGTAGAAGCGGTTTCAGCCTTCAAGAAGATCCTGTCTTCTACCTGTCCATTTTAATTGCTGACAACGGAATCCCATCACTGACCAGCACCAACACCCTCACCATATACGTCTGCGACTGTGATGACAATGGCAATGTACGGACCTGCAGTAACAAGAAACATCAGCTTTCCACGGCATTCAGGGCAGAAGTCATAATTGCTATTCTAATCTGCATTATGATAATATTCGGTAAGTAGTGCTCAGTGGAACACCTCTTTATTTCTATGAAATAATATGATACATTTATAGACTTAATTCCAAAAGAGCCATATTGTGTGTGTGTGTTCAATTGGTTTTCTGAATGTATCACAATTATTTAACCAAACAGATTAAATGATAAATAGAATTGACATATCCATGTCTCAGGCTGAAATGTAGGATCCTGAATTGTAGGAACCTGTGATTCCATGTGTACACATCTGTGTACGAGAGGTTTTGACACATTCACATTTAAACAAATGGAAGTTATATATATGAAATAGTAATAATAATAGCAGGCTTCTGTTGAGTGTTTATTACACTCCAAGAGACTATGTCAGGTGCTTTGTATGCATTATGCAATTTAATTCCAACTTTCTATTTATGGAATCACAATGATCCTCACCTGTACTATATAGATGAGGAAACGGAAACTCATTGAGTGAGTGATTGATAACCACCCTGCAACTAAGCAACAATGTACTGAGCTTCCATAGCTACAATCTGCTATGACCCACGGCAGTGCAGCTGACCAGAAACATTACAAGAGAAAGCCAAGGTTACCATACCAAACCCACTGCAGTGGAATGGATTCTGACTCACAGCAACCCTATAGGGCAGAGTGGAGGTGCCTTAGGCTGTAAATCGTTATGGAAGCAGACTGCCTCAGGCTGGTGGGTTCCAAAGCATTGACCTTTTGCTTAGCAGCCAAGTGCCTTCAGCACTGCAACACCAGATCTCCTTCAGTTTACCATGGAGGAAGCGAAAAGAGAGTCTTATTTCACCAAAATGGTAAGCACAAATAAATCTCAGTAAAACGGTTCATATTGTTTGTTTCCAAAAGCAGATAAGCTAGTTTAATCATGTTACATTTGAACCCAAGCTTCCAAGTCAAGCTTTTAAGACTCTAAATGACTCATTTGCAATAACCCTTTCCCTTCCTTTAACACCTGAGTACATTCCATCTACATCTGTTCTTGTTTTTCTGCTAACTTTTTACCAGAATTCAACATGACCTCCTGAGTGTTGTGAGCCAAGACAGCAGCCTCTGGTTCTGGAATCACAACCCCACTCAAACTGTGTTGGAGTCGGTGTGGCACTTATTTTGCCCACAGGATCATCTTTCTCAAAGTTTCCAGAACCATGCATTCCACTTTTACCACTGAACATTACCGTACCTTTCATCCCAGCTCCAGGTGTTCAAATTGCTTTCGATGCTTTCCTATAATAAAACTGAATTTAGAACTTTATAGCCAGATATCAAAAGCAAGAAACATAAACACAGTGAGTGGCTGGGGGAGTGAACCACTTAAAGGTATGGAGCTCTGTAAGTCAACAAGAAGCAGCCTGGCAGTCAAAGGCAAGGGTGGTATTTGTAGAGTACAGAGTGTGGAGTTTAGATCAACTAATAGAAACATCCTTTGAAAGTTTCGTGAGTTCTCTCTCAAATTCATGCATTGGAAAATCATCCTTTATACCCTCTTCTGTATCAAGTATATATCTCAGAGGACTTTAAAGTCTAGTGCTTGGATTCATATATGATGACCTTATTCATTTCAAACAAACAATTTCAAATTTTAAAAATATAAGTTGTATGCAAAATAGTACATGACGTATTTATTTTTCCGTAATATTGATACTTCACTTTTGTTTTAAGTTCCACATATGAAATACAGAAGAGCTGGGTAAGCTCCAAGATTGAGAGAGAGTTGACTCTCTTTGATACACATAGTTAGCTTTAAAATGTAGTATTCTGATTTTTTTTTTTACATAATATTAAAATTATCTTCTGCAATAAATGTTGATTCTGGACAAACTAGTCTTATGATTCAAAAACCTGAAGGTTGGGAATTTCTGCCATTAATACGGTAGCACAGAGCACAGGATCCAACTTCCTGGCTTTGAGATCCAGCTTTCTACCTACTAGCTGAGTGATCTGGGGTGTGCTATTGAAGGTGTTGGTGGCCTGTTCTCTCTTCTTTAATAGGTCAGAGTAGTAGTTGTGGATTTCCTTAGAAGCCATGGTGGAGTGATGGCTGAGCAATGGTGGTCTAAATGCACGCAGGGGCTCCCTGGAAGAGACCTGGAGCGCTGTTCCCATAAAGTTGAAGGCCCAGGAAGCCTGATGGGCAGTTCTACTCTGTCTTACAAGGTCGTTGCGTCAACAACAGCACAACCATTCAATCAATGGATAACCGTACATCTTTTAGAACAATACCTGACACTTGATGTGCAGCCAACAAATATTAACTGACATATTAAATTTAATTAGATATTAAATATCCGGTTACGCTCTCTTTGCCAGGGTTTATTTTTTTGATCCTGGGTCTAAAGCAGAGAAGAAAACAGGTTCTGTTTCCTGAGAAAGGCGAGGACTTCAGAGAGAACATATTCAGGTACGATGACGAAGGGGGAGGAGAGGAGGACACGCAGGCCTTTGACGTGGCCGAGCTGAGAAGCAGCAGCCTCCGCAGGGACCGCCAGGCCCGGAAGCACGCCCCCTCGGGGATCCCCAGTCTGTACCGGCAGTCCCTGCAGGTGGGCCCAGACAGCGCCATCTTCCGGAAGTTCATTCTGGAGAAGCTCGAGGAGGCCAACGCCGACCCCTGTGCGCCCCCTTTTGACTCCCTGCAGACCTATGCCTTTGAGGGAACAGGGTCGTCAGCCGCTTCGCTGAGCTCCTTGGAATCAGACGTCTCTGATCAGGATGAACACTACGATTACCTGAATGACTTGGGACCTCGCTTTCAAAGACTGGCTTGCATGTTTGGCTCTGCAATGCAGTCGAATCATTAACAACTTATTATTAAAGTGGAAAAGAGGCTAACGTGTGTCTGGGTGAATGGGTAGTCTCTTGGTTAAAGGGGGAAATGCAGGTGGTGGTAACAGCCCCGGGTTGTGCACTGGTAAATTAGCCTTGGTGTACAGTGTTTGCTGAGTTCTGTGGAATAAATAATAAATCCCCGGGAGTGATTTCAAGCTACCAGCATGACCTCACTGCAGAACTGGGAGCGATGCTGTTAGCCAGCTCCTGGGTGCCATCACCAGCGGGCTTCAGCAAATCACTAAGTACTCCGCGAGCTTGCTTGCGATAAAACCCAATCAGATTCTCAACACTTTTGAGTGGTTAATCGGAAAAGCACTGGACTAGATAGACCCTCTTGATAGTATTTCATTTTTTGTTCTATTTTTTTAAAACTTACAGAGTAAGAATAAAGTGTTTATTACCCCTGATACTATAGAATCTTAAACACCTAGGTGAATGTGGGTGATTGCATACTTTGTGAAAGCCATTCTCTTTATATGAATAAGTTGACGCCTGACAGATTCTGTGATTCATTCCAGCTTGATATTTTAAAACTGCTTTCAAATTTGGAAAAAAAAAAAAAAAAGGTGGATTGTATTGATCAATCAAAACTACATTGCATACATTTGTATTGTGTTTAACACCATAGCTTTGTATAAATGGAACATGAAAATCATTTAAGAAGCTTTCATGGATTATTTTCGTATACAACCAAAATACTTTTGTATTATTTCATAACACAATGGCCAAACACATAGCAACTATTGTTCCTCATTAAATTTAAACTTTATAAAATTTGTGGATAGTGTGTAAAATCTTTAAAGTTTATTGTGACCAAAAATGATGCAGAAACATGAAATGAGCAGTAGATTCAAGCTTGAATTAACATTCAGTTTAAAGATTATGATCAGTCAGACCACCTCTTACCAGGCATAAAATAAAACATGATACAATTCTCAGAATTTCCTTTTTCATTAAGATCGTAGGATATGACTGATCCTTTGGTGTCCTTTTTTATTATAGAATATAAAATGAGGTGCAATCCTAGGTTTTATTGCAGCATTATGAAGGAAGTAAATGGTAAGCTGCTGGACATGAAGCTTTACGGTAACATTATATAAGAAGATAATAAAACATTTTAATTTTAATCCATCTTCTAAAGAAAGACCTTTCCTCTACCCAAGTCCAGGTGGGATTAAAAATTCATAGTTTCAACAGAAAGAGAGTAGTGCATGCAATATTCTTTAAATTGATTTATATGATCATTTCTGATTAGTGGTATGTGAAGCTGAGCTGAATCAAATTGGCCATGTGTGTTTAAATCAAATATTTCAAATAATTTTGAGCTGTGGTTAGGGTCGTTGAATGAAAGCAACTTTTTTTTTTCTTTTTTCTGTACTTTGGAACTTTAATGTCTATAGTGCATACAGTTTTGCAACAATCCAAATAAGCCACCATTATGTTGGTGACACAGATACCATATTAAAAGTCAGAGTAAATACAATTTGAAATAGAATGATTTAGCAAAATAATAAAAAGTTAGTGAAAGAACATATGCATCAACTGTAGTCAATCCTTACGCATTCTTATCATTTTTACTTAGGAAAGAGTGGAAAAAAAAAAAAAAGAATGCTTTAAAATGATCAAAGGTTACAAGTAAAATAGAAATGTCCAAGTTGAAAAAAAAAAAAAAAACCTCTATTTCTTGCATATTAATACACAACATTGAAAGCAGATGGCTACAGAGACTTCCATGAATGGTTCAATGTTTAAAAATAGTGCTATTTGATTTTGAGTGAAGAACTGGGAAGTATGATAAACAGTAGATTAAACAGTCCACTGAAAATGGATTAGAAAAAAAGAAATCAGGGGCTCTGGCCATCACAGGAGCTCTGGTGGCATAGTGCCTAAGTTGTTTGACTGCTAACCAGAAGGCTGGCAGTTCAAACCC